TAAAATTACAGCCTGGGTGAGAGTTTTGAAATACTAGATACAGCAAAATTGTAATTTGGTCAAGAACAGATACACGAGTATTGAATGTAATTTGGATTGTTGATACATATCAAGAAGCAGAGCTCTGACAGTTGCTCATGGAAAATTGCAACATCATCGCTGAAATATTAATGAAGCATTCATGGTAGAGTAAGTGGCGTTGCTTTTATAGCTCTTATAGTCTGTGAATTCGTTTCTCTTTATGTATACATTAAAGATTTATAAAAATAATCTGTCCTCTGAGAAATTTTTTAAAAAAATTTTCTACCCTTGTAGTCTTTCTGAAAAGTTATTCTTAAAATCCTATCATGTCGGTATTTCTATAGCTATTTTAGTGACAAATCTTGGTTAGGTATAGAAATGGTAGTTTTATATATACTTTGTATCTTTAATCATCTAAAGAATAAAATGAATTATAAAGATTTTGTTTTTCATTCCCTTTACAGACCAGGAGATGGCCACCCATGGAGGTGACTGTTTTATGACTGTTTAGAACCACCTGTTATAAAGCTTTTGAAGTTTTAATTTGGCCTTCTTGGTTATTCTAGGGCTACTTATCCAATTGCTGGATTAGTTTGTTTCTCCTGTTTACTGCTACTACCTCTCTTTTGGCCTTTTAATGCTTATTAATGACTGTACATGGCAGATGAAGGGGAGAGAAAAAGAGGAAACCCAGTAAGATGCAGTTTTGTTAATTAGCAGGTCTGGTCAAGGAGGGTAAAGAAGGAGCATAAAATAGTAATGAAAACAAACAAAAAAGAAAATTGGATATCAGAGAAACTGTTGTTAGAGAGTTAATATTTTTTTTTTTTTTTTTTTTTTTTGGTTTTTTATGCGGGCCTCTCACTGGCCATGGCTCACGGGCCCAGCCGCTCCGCGGCATGTGGGATCTTCCCGAAACGGGGCACGAACCCGCGTCTCCTGCAACGGCAAGCGGACTCTCAAGCACTGCGCCACCAGGGAAGCCCGAGAGTTAATATTTTTTTAATCTGTGAATTCTCTAGAATATCACAGGGCAGTTTGTTGACCATGCTTTTTAAAACTGACGCTGCTTGCAGTGGAGGTTAACAGAGTCATGAATCACCCTAAAGTGATGTTGACAGATAAATAACTTATACTTGGTTTTGGTATGCATGTTAGCACTTTTTTAAGGGAATATGTGTTTTTTGGGGAAAGGCTTTATAAAAACACGTTGTGAAGTAAGCCACATTGTGAGGATCTTTTTTTCCATTAAATACATTGTCTGAATAGATTGACTCTCTAAACTTACTTTGCATAGGATAAAAATAGCTTATATAGCACTTTGGCATTTATAAAGTATATGGACATGTTTTCATTTAAAACAAATATTTATTGAACATAAAATCCCATCTCTGTTGTCCTAATTTCTGAGCTAAAAATAGCAATAATTATTGGACACATAGTATGTGCCAGGGTCAGTGCTGTGTGTTAAGATGTTTTACATCCTGTGAAGTTGCATTTATTCATCATAACAATCTTTGACTTAGGTCCTGTTATTATAGGTGAGACACAGAAAGATTAGGTAACCTTCCCCAAGTTAAACTGGTAGCAAGTGGCAGAAACAGAGTTCTAACCCAGACAGCTTGACTCTAGAGCGCAAGTTCTTAACCATTAAATCTACATAGGTGTGAGGCAAGAACATGCTTCGCAAAACTTTACTTAGCTTAAGGTCACTTGTCTCTTCCTGGTTCTGAACTAGTTTAATTACAAATGAATGACTTTGACAGGATATTCATACCTCGATATTCCTAGAAAAGTTAGAGCTCAGAAAGGAGGAAACTGAATTTACCTAAACTACTTCCTCCGATTTTTTAATCTTTCCGGTGACCTCCAGTCTTACCTTCCAGTTTGTGACAGACTTCATCAGCAGGATAAATAAATCAATACAAAGACACAAATGATCAGGGCACTTGACTTACTTTTCCCATTCAATGAATAATGTAATAAAAAATAATCGAGAGTTGACTCTACTTATGTAAATGCACAGTGTCCTAGAGGTTCTTGTGTTTAATTAGATATGGAGACTTATCAGTATGTTAAAGCTGATGACTCTATTTTAGGTTTCTCAAAATAACTGCATGGGTCATATACAGCTTTGGGGAAAAGAAGTTAAACAGAAAGTTTCTCATTTAGGATGAACATTTTAAATTTAATTTCTGAAAATGCCTTTTGGCAGAGTATATCTGAGGTGTTCTGTAGAGTATCTTTCATTGTGGTAGGTATGGATTCAGATCACCCTCCCTGCCCCGCTATCAAACCCCATGTGGCTATCGAGCGCTTGAATTATGATTAATACTGTAAGTGAACCAAACCTGGTTCCACTTTCCCAGTGCATAGCAAAGCCAATTTACTGACACCAGGTTGTGGTGAAGTAAACTACAGCTTATTGCAAGGCATACCCACTCTGGGGCCAAGCAAGGAGAATGGGCAGCTCATGCTCAAAAGACCCAAAGTCCCTGACGGCTTTCAGGGAAGGGTGTTTAAAGGCAAGGTGAGGGAGAGGGTCTCAGGGTGTGTGATCAGTTGTGGATATCTTTCTGATTGGTTGGTGGTGAGGTAACGGGGTGGTATTTCAGGAGTTAACATCATCAACCTTCTGGCTCCAACCGGCCTGGGCTCTACCTGCTTGTGGTCAGCATGCAGTTAACTTCCTCCACTTGGTGGGAGTTTTAGTATCTGTAAAACCACTCAGGGATATGGCTCAGAATATTATCTATAGCCCTTGAGGAACTAAGGGCCCTTGACTTTGTTTTAATAAAAATAAAACTATTATTATTTTGTCTTGCTTGACTGTTTTCCTTTGTGTCTGCATTACTCTGATTAAATATGCTCTTTGGAACTTGGGGAAGGCCTAGGAGGCTAAAGCTTTTCTACAAACAAGAGGCCAGGGACATGGGGAGGGGTGTCTGTCCCCGGGAAGACCCTGCAGGGTCCTGCTTGGTTTCACTACAACTGAGAAACTAAATTTTAATTTTTATTTAATTTTAGTTAAATTTAAAAGCTGTCCTTCATTTAGTTTTTGGAAAACTTCTAGGTATGCTTGGAACAATGTGGCTATGTGGACCTATTTTTAATCTCTAAAGTTTATGAAATGTAAATACTTATAAAGTATTTCTGATGAAAATTTAGCCTCCTAATTGACATGTATTGTCTGTGTAATATATATATTCATATATCATATATATATATGATTTTAAAAACTTAGTATGAAAAATATATCAATCTTTATATTACATGTTAAAATGATAGTGTTTTGATATGTTGAGTTAAATAAAATATTAAAATTATTTTCATCTATCTCTTTTTCCCTTTTTAAAATGTGGCTACCAGAAATTTTAAAATTAAATATAATGTTGCTACCATTATATTTCTATTGGATAGTGCTGCTCTATAGTTTAAAAAAATGTGAGGAAGAAGTATAGAATAAAAATGTTCATAGCCACCACATCATAGATCTGGTATTTTCTGTAGATCAAGAAAATACCAAAATATTGGGTGTCTGTTTTTAGAGTGGTTATATATACACTTACACACGTATCTATGCATGTATGTACGTGTAAGATTTGATTTAACAGCAACATTTTTTCCCTCTGGGTGCATAGGTGTAGAAAGTTATCGATAATAGACTGATGGTAGCTGACTTCCTAGAAAATGTAGTAAGTTCATAAATGTCACCTACAAAAGTGAGCAATTTTTAGTATATATTCTATTTTTATTATTTTAAGTAGTATACTGAATTGAACCATTCAGTTAACTTAAAATAGTAAACTCAAACATTTTGAATTCTAAATCTAAGACTTTATGAAATGATGTGGTGAAGGAAAGTACAGTGTTTGTTGCAAGGCTCCAACCGTGGGGCCAAGTGAGGGGAATGGGCAGCTCACGCTTTCCCTTTTTCCCACTATGTCTGAATGCTGACATAACATTTGAAACATTTTCCCCAAGAATTTTAGCTTGCAAAATATGTCAAGAGCTGAAAGAAAATGGAGATACAGAAAGGACCATTGTTTTCATGTTATTGTCTATATGTGGATGTGAGCTACAATTTTTTTCTTGGCTCTGGCAGAGAGCAGGACATATCCTTGACAGTGAGTTTGGATTAGTGTGTAATGTTGTCTAATTTGCTGTGTTTTTACCTTACTACAGCACTTTTAAGAAGTGGCATTGCTCAGCTAGCTTAAGTGCTGATTGGATAGTTAAAAGCTCTGTTTTGGGTCTGCCACTGGCACT